CCTCCATCCAATGTACTCCTCAAAGAACTTACCATCTTCCCGCTCAGCAAGATTCAAGGCATCGCCTTTGGTGATCGTTGCCGGGTACACTATATTGGCCGCATCTGCACGCCATTTAGCGGACCGGCGGAAGAATTCCTAAACATACAAATACGTCTTAGATCTTGAAGAGTTGCTCAAGCTCCGCCCACCTCATCACCCATTTCTTTGAACTCTTCGTAGAGGATTTTCAAATGCTTCAAACACTGGGTAAAGGATGGCCTATTCCTTGGAGTTTTACTCCAACATTGTCGCATCAGCATTTTCAGACCGTCTGGAGCTGTTTCCGGAATGGGAAGTGAGAGTTTTCTGCAATGCGAGTGCTTGATTACGTATAAGCCCCGCCCACTTGTAGATCAGCCAATCACAGTCATGTTCAACCAATCAGGTGGTAGTAAATGCAAGGCACACTTACTCTGATCCTACTCCATAGATTATCGCCATCTGGTTGATATTTTTGTATGGTTGTTCTCTCGTTAGCAATTCCCACAGTACAACGCCATAGGAGAAAACATCAACCTAAATGGTCCCTTTAGTGATGGGGCAGAAGCGGGTAAAATCCATACCTTCTCACAACACGGTTGTTTTCTAATCATTTCCGGTGCCATCCAGCTTACTGTACCGCAAAATGACATCACCGTACTAGTTTGTTTCTTTTGTTGATGTGATGTGCCAAAATCGCAAATCTTCACCACACCCTCTTTATCGAACAGGATACTGTAGATAAGAAAAATTTGCTTTCGAAAATTCGCGAAAAATTTGCACAGTTTGTGCGAATTTGCCTGCGTATTTTTCAATGAGCATGTTAAGTAAACATTTCAGTTCAAAGTACACAAATCTACTTCCACCAAAAAATGAACGAACAGAGCGATAACATGCGCCTGAAAAATATGCAGGTAAATCAATATATTGATTTTTTCAACATGCCGAAAAAGTGGAAAGGATGGCAGCACTCACTTTGCACTTTTGAGATCGCGATGTATGACTTTGTTTTCGTGTAAATATTCCATGCCTTTAGCGATCTGCCGGCTCCAAGAACACCATTCTTGCCAGCCTGTAATATTATTCTAATCGATATCGATCAATAACTCTTGGCATTACACTAATTCTCACCTATAACCCTGTCCGATTTCAAAACGTCGCCTAACTGACCATTTGGGCAGTACTCCATCACTAGACAATAGCA